CCCGTGCCCTTTGCCTCCCACACCCTCGCAGCCCCGCAGGAGCCTTCTCCCTGTCCGTTTCGTCTCCCATTTCCCCAGAGTTGTAGCAAACATAACAGTCCAACAAGGTAAATTGGAAAAAAAAAAAAAAAAAAAGTAAATTGGGCCAAAATACCCCCCTTATTAAAACTCCCAGTGGGTTCCCACCCCCTTGTCTTTGGCAGATTGGATTCCCTTGGCCTGAAGTGCTTTTCGCGGCATCCTTTAGTCCGCTGGTTCCTACCTCCTGAGATTATTCCAGAGGAAGGTAGGTCATTCTTGTGAAATGTAACGAGGATCTGATCAGCTTGGGTTTTTTAGAATGGTATGTGTTAGTCTGGCTTTTCCATGCTGAAATTAAGTTTTACTAATGCAGAAACTGTACATCCTTAACACCTTATTCCCAGTATTTAATACCTAGTAGCTACTCAATAAACACGTGTTGAGAGGATAGTCTGGAAGATGAGTGTAATCCCCACTCTACAGGTGACACTAAGGCCGAGGAGGTAGCTCACCTTCAGTTGGCACCTGGCATTGGCTGGGTTTTGCCTTGGAGCCCGTGTTTGCCCTTTGCTGGCTGCCTAGGGCTTCAGCCCGACATCCTGGCGCCTAGACCCACCTGGTGGCCTGGTCTCAGCGAAGGAGCGACTGGGGATGCCGATGCCGACCTCGTCCCAGTCCCAGCTGTGTCTGGCGAGCTTCGAGGAGCGGGAACACTTGCAGATCTAAATGAAGTTTGGTTTTGGTGTTGGCTTGTGGAACTGGAGATCAAACCCAGTGGCGCTGAGCTGTATTCCCAGTCCCTTTTCATTTTATTTTTTATGTGGAAATAGAATTTTTAAAAAAGTCCTTAATAAAAGCTCTAACAGTGCTCAGAGTTGGCATTTGCTGGGAGAATTAGAATTTCATCTTCACTTAATATTTGCCAAATTTCATTCTCACCGCCTCCTCCCCAGTTTTTGTGTTACTCTTTTAACACATATGCTATTGTTTACTTAACGTTTTTATTTAAATCCAGTCGCTGTTTTACATAAATATGGTCTTTTTAAAAGTACACTTTATTTTGCTATTATGAGTAATGAAACCACATACTACCTTCTGCTGAAAGTCAATAAAAGTGTTACAGATGCCGGCAGAAGGGCCCAAGCCTGCTGGTTGCTCAAAAACAGGATTAAAGCATTTCTGCCACATTCCAGCGCTCCCCTTGATTTAAGCAAAATGAGGGGATTGAAATGGGTAAGGGAATTATTTTCATCATGTGATGTTGGTCAGCATCGGGTTGCAGGTACCTCTGCCTGGGAAGTGCTGGACTGCCCTGATGGGGTGCGAGGACTCAGTCACCCCACCTGCACTGGAGTTTCAAGTTCAGCACCACTTGAAACTGTGACTGCCAAGAACACAGTGAACACCTGGCAGAAACCTTGGGCTCTACACCTGGCAAACTCTGCTTCACTTATAAAAGTACTCAGGAGGCATGCTGGGAACCTGATCGGGAGACAGAAGTAAAAATCTGCTGCTGGTGGCCACATCCAGTTCTCCAAAGTCAGGCAGTCAGTCCCTGATAGATCTTGACCTTTACAGGCAGCTCCTCTTCAACAAACAAAAGGGTATTGATTGTCTATGGCTGGGCGAGGTGGGGCATACCTTAATCCCGGCATTTGGGAGGCTGAGGCAGGAGGTTCTCTGAGTTCCAGGACTTGGCTACTTAGTGAGTTCAGGGTCATCCTGGAATACATAGAGTCTGTCTCCAAGTAAATAAATAAATAACCTACCAGACTTACTGAGGCACAGTTTCATTAGCTTACTTGCAAGAGTTCTTTGCTTTAGCTAAACAATTCAGAGTTTGAGTGTTAGCAAGCTCCTACCTTCAACTGTGAATAGACCAGAACCAGAAAAGGGGGCTCTGTTCCCTAGGAAATGCCTATTTCAAACCTTTGTTTTTTTTATTGCATTATTTTGTTGTCAGGAATCCCAGCCCCCATATGGATCTAGAAAATAGAGATAAAATCCAACACTTCACAGTCACTAAGAACTTTGTCTACAGAGTTCTCAGAGTTTGGGGATTATGTCTTTTTTTTTTTTTTAAAACCAGGTATTGAACTCAGGCCCTTGCACTTGCCAGGGCAGCGCTTACTCACTGAACCATCTCCCCAGCCCGGATTCTGTCTTACTAATACAAGAATACAGGTCACGGTACCCAGAGCTGCCTACTAAACATATCACAGTTTCCTAAATTTAAGTTTCCATTTCCTAGTAGTTTAGGAATTATTGTAAAACACCTAAAGTTGGGTTTATTTCAGGTTTCTTTGGCTCCTGTCTTCAGAATAAAGGCTAGAGTGTTCAGAAATGAAGGTTTTCTGATTCTTCCTTTCTAAAGGCTGGGCAGATAGCTCAGTAGAACAAGTGCCTGCCTGGCAAGGGCAGGGTCCTGAGTTCAATCCCTGGTACCACATAAAGAAACCTTAAAAGAAATCTTTACTATAATAAGGAAGCTACTTAAGGTTACTGTATCTTGAAATTATCATAGGATCAATTTGTGGTATCACCCGAGGTGTAATTGAAAAGTATGGTGGAGCTGGGTATGGTGGCACACACCTGAATTCCAGCACTTAGGAGCCTAGGCAGAAGGATAAACAAGTGTGAAGCCAGCCTGGGCTGCATAGTGAGCACAAGGCCAGCCTGCCCTACACAGCAAGACCCTCTCGCAGAAAACCAAAATATTACATATATGCACATATATGTGTACTTGTATCATATACGTTGAATGTTCAAATTTTGAAAAATATATTACAGTAGAAGTAGTTGCTATTCCATTCAAAATATTCCCCACACTGCTGAACATACTCCATTGACTTTGCGGAGAGCCAGAAATCATACAGAGCTAAATTTAGTAAATAAAGTAGATAAAGATGCACCTTAATGTCTTTACCAGCCTGCTTTTCCATTGGATTGCACATGAGCAGCATTTGAGATAGTTTATCTCCCCTATACATATAGACAGAAAAAATCCCAACATAAAGGAGGGCTTCCAGAGTGGCTTCAGAAAGTGCCAAGAGCAATTGGTGTGTTCAGAGCAAGCCCATTTTGAAGGGAAGTAATGGAAAAAGAGCTTTTACTGTAATTTACTGTAATTGTTCTTAAACATTCACCATGTGTTTTGACCACACTTTGTATTCCCTAGGGGAGGAGGTCATAGGGGTTTCTTAAGATTTTGCACATTTTGCTGGCTGTGGCAACACACCACCAAAATCTGAAGGATACAAAGATTAGCATGGCTGGAGAAGGATCACACACAGCTTTGGGAAACATTCCATAGATTTGAAAAAAAGAAAAAGATTCTGGTCTCAGTTGGAAGCTGAACCTTTTCTGACCCAAAGCTTTGAGTCTCACTACTTGCTTTAGAAAGGAGAAGCAATCTAGAGAGAACAGCTTGGGTGGGGTGCCTGTGGGATTTAGGTCCTCCTGCTGGCTAGCCAAGCACTCTGCCACTCCCAGCCCAGCCTGGGGGCTCTTTAATTGAAGATTCTGTTCCACTCCTTTCTTTAGAACTGTTTTAGAATTCATAGAAAGCTAGTAACATATGTGCTGCGTAAGTAGCACTAGGTAGCAAATCAGCATGAACTGAATACAGATACCTGGCTTTTAGACCCTTTGCTGGAATAATACACCTCTAGCATGCTTAGTCGTCTGGTTTCTTAGTGCAGATTAGAAACGATTTGGAAAAGCATCTGTACTGTTTCCAAAGCTTCTACAAGCAGCTACTGTGCTTCAATTTTACTTGAACAGAATAGAATTAAAGATAAAACTTAGCAGATGTTAGTGTTCTCAAGACTCAGACACAGGCTAGGATCACTTGTTACAGGAGCCAGGTGATACCCACGTGGTGGATCCAACAAATTCCAGACTAGTGCATGGCAAGCAAAGTACTGCAAGTGTAAGAAAAAAATAAGTACATTTATTGAAGATCACTGGAAGCTGTACTAGGACAGGTCTGTGCTGACAAAAATGTGGCATGAACAGAAAACTGGTTCTAAGGTGACAGGAAAGTAAAGAGCACACAAACAGATAAATCAAGCTTTCGGACATCCAGCCGGAGAGCCTCTCATTAAGTTCCTGGATAAGATTGACAGGGTCCCAAGTCATATTCTAGTATGTCTGGGAAACAGGATTTTCCTGGAGTTCACTGTGATTCAGTTACATACACGAGATGCTGTCCATATTTATTGACCTTCTGTGAGGTTCAAGTGTGGCAAGATTACTGAGAGGTCAGGCCACAAGATCTAATATTTGCGTGTGCCCTGGCCTGGCAAAGCTTTGGGGCTTTTGGATCTTTGATTTATTTTTGCCTTTCAGAATATGGAAAGAGCTTTGGCCCCAGGTGCTGCCTAAGTTGAAGTGGATGGCGGGAGTGGTGTCCCTTGTGCAACCTGCGGGACAGGGACCCGACCCTCTATAGTCCCTGAAGCTTTCGCTGGCCTCAGAGCCTTGAAGAATGTCTCCATGCACTGTAGCTCCTTGAAATGTGTCATTTACCAGAGAAACCTTATCTAATTTGGTAGTTAATTGATTAATTATGAGAAGTAATGATTACTTTTAAAGTAAGTTGCCACTTAAACGTGCATAAATACTTATTTGGAAATCTTTTCAGGCAGCATAAATTTTATTTTTAAGGAATGTAGATTCTATGACTGGCATACTGCACTTGGTCTTGGTTGGCCCCACTTCTTTCAGACAACAGAACTGGAAGATACTCTAGTGCAGACTTTTGGGTTTTCTGAGTTTCCTCTCAAGATTTATGTGCCCTTATTAAAATGATGGGCCTCAGTAGTCACAGAAAAGCATAATAGGCTCCATGGCCCAATGATCAGATTTCAGAAATACACCCTCATCTCAAGCTAGCTACAGGTTCCTCCTGCAAACCCCATTAAAAACCCTAAACCTGTGAGAGGGCCACCACTCTGGTGTTTGCCTGCTGACCGACCCTCTCAGGTTTTAATCCCCTAATGCCTGTCTGCATTCTACTGTTTGGTTTTTTTTTCATTACAAAGATTAACCCATTTATTATAGGCTCAGCATGTCTCAAATAGTAAGAACTTCTACTGGTCTTTCAATTCCTTCAGTCTTCTGATGGCTGACTTGACTGTGACCACAGAAGTGGTATTGTAGGTCCAGGCGCCACCAGCGATGGTCTTCATGCAGGAACCACAGTGCCAGATCCCCACGGCCCGGCTTTTCATCTTGGTCTTGCCACAGAAGGAGCAGGTGTACTTGGCATGCTGGATGATTTCGATCTTCTTCACCATCTTCCAGAGGGAGGCACCATAGCGAGTCCTGTATTTACCAACAATGCTGACCTTCTTGGTGGGCTTAGCCATGGCGATGCGAGGAGGCCCAAACCCAGAGAACCTGCATTCTACTGTTGAGCTCTGCTGCCTTTGCTTTTTTCCTTACACGGGTTATGAGTTGTTCAGGGTGTCCTAGCTACTTTTCTCTCATTGCTGGGATAAAAATACCAGACACCCCAAAATTAAGGAAGGAAAGGTTTAATGAGCTTGCAGTTTGTGGAGGTTTCAGTCCATACTTGGCTGACTCCGAGGCAGACTGGCACATGGCAAAGGACAGCAGTTCATGGCAGTGGAGAACTGCAGCAGAAGCAAAAAGGGAGGTGCAGTAGCAACAGGAGCAGCACAGCAAGCCTCTCCCTTACGTTGCGTTCAGGCTAGCCAAGGGTGTAGCACCCACACACATAATCCCAGCAGCACTCACCCATAATCTCAGCATTGGACCATGAATTAATCACAAAGTCTAGAAGGCCACCTCAGTGACTACACAAGACTTTAGGGGGACACCTAGATTAAAAAAACTAACAGGGGCAGTGGTTACTGAGAGTAGAACCCAAGGCCTTTGTGCTTAGCTGCATCCCAAGCCCTCTTTTTTTTTTTTTTAACTTTGAGACTGTCTCAGATCAGATGGAATTCAACCTTGGTAATCATCTTGCATCAGTCTTCCAAAAATACTGGGATTACCGGCTTGCACCACTATAGCTGGCCTGGTAAAAGCTCTCTGCAGGTTTTCATAGCTTCATTTAGCATCATGGATGGATAATTTTCTCACATTAGTTGGATCCTTATGGAAATACTAAGTCAGGATAGGAAAAAGGAAAAACTAATTTTAAAATTGTATTTTTAATTTATTTTTTTAAAAACCCAGCAGACTCAGGACACAAACCCAGTCAAAAGGTTTCTAAAGTTCATAAAAATACAGTAAACCTGGGCCAGAAAGCCCTTTGTCCTACAGATAGGCCTTTTATAAGTCATTCCTTCTTGCCTGTACCATGGGCCTTTCCTTGTGGGTTGGCTGTAGTCCTGTCACTGTGGGGGGCAGGGGTAGGTGAGGTCCCTCTTTCCTTGAGAGAAGAGAACACACCAGGAGCAGCCAGCAGTTCAAAAGGCAGGCCGCAGCAGGAGAGCATCCTGGGTCTTTACTGTTTAACTCTGATACAGGTTGTTACCATATGTTTACGTTCTTGTACACAGACGTGACTAGCGCACGCAGTCTTCTGCTACTAAGTCTCCTTGTATGACTGTACTAGATAGCAGGCTTGTGCCCTCAGAGCCCCCCACGGGTGTCCGCATATGCTCCCTGAGCTTTGAATATATATATATATATATATTTTTTTTTTTTTTTTTAATTTTATCCATTTATTTATGTGTGTGTGTGTGGCCAGCTCAGCCCACCAGGGGGCAGGGCTGGCTGGCATGTGGTGCTGGGGGATTGAACTGTGATCCCTGTGCTTTGCTAAGCTTGTTCTTAAGTAGGTGCTTTAGACCACTGAGCCATCTCACCAGCCCCTCCCTGAGCTTTGAAACCTGAAGCATTACCTCTAAAGTGCTGCCCCACAACCTGCAACACCTGACACCCATGAATGGGCCATTGCGCTTTCATTGCCAAAAAAGCTGTCACCTTTCATCTGTAATTTGAATCCCCTCTTTCCATAGATTCACAAGTTCTGTAAATCTCAAATCCAGACCTCCAGACCTGTCAAGACCATAAGCATGTCCCCCCAAAAAACTTTGTTTCTTAGTATACTTTTAAAATTTTGCCTAATAGCTTTATACCTCTTTGTGCTATGCCCTGAACATTCTTTTTCTGTGATAGAAGTTGGTAGATCTGCAGCGTGCCCTTGTGTGGGGTGAGTCAAAGGGGATATCGTCTCTGCTACAGGGACTCCCACCGGTGATAGTCCCTAGAGAAGGTTTATACACAAATGGTCACTTAGAATTGCTTTTGAAGCTTATGCCAAGAGGCTTCTCTTTTGAAGAGCGAGACTGATACCATCACAGAAGTCCTGTGGATGTCTCTGCTTGAGTAAAATCTAGATCGATAAACTCCAGTTTGACTGTAAACATTTGAACAATAGTCAGAATTACTCTTGACATTGACTTTAAGCCCAAGCACCTGTTACAAGTTTCAGGGTTAAGAATAAAGGTTTTGTTTTGGATCTTGGCTCCAGCTGCCTTTCCTGGGGCATCTCAGGTAACATGGTCTTGATTGAAAGACAAAGGTAAGGGTGGAGAAGATAAGCAGGATTTTTGTGTTAACTTTTCAATTTTTTATAGATTTTGGTATCCATTACAGGGCTCTGGTAGAAAGGCTGCACATGTGTCAGAAGTTCCTCTGAAAGGAATTAGAGAATCATCAAGTTATTTTGCCAGTGGACCAGGGAATGGGATGTAATGTTTCTCTTTCCTTTGCAGAAGTATAATGTGCCAGGAAGGCAGTTATGGGAAATGGACATTATCCAGTAGCGAGGAAAGCGAGGATGAAAAGCCCGAGCCAGACAAGCCCTCTACCTCTTCTGTGTGCACCGAGCCGGGAACAGCGCCGGAGCTGAGCTACACCTGCTCTGCGGCTCAGCAAGCTGCACACCGGAGGCAGCTCGCACCAGTGCAGTTCACGAACGCAGATTCAGTTTCGCCTGCCAAAAAGCAGAGAAGTAGCTCCCAGGAAGACCTTGGCTGGTGTCTCTCCAGCAGTGAGGATGAGCTGGAACCAGAAACGCAGCCAGCACAGGCTGAGCAAGTGGTGGGCAAAGAAGAGAAAGACATCCCCACTCCCAAAAATGGTGCTGCCCGAAGGACCGGAAACCATGGCCCTCCTGTCTGCCACAGGCTCAAAGAGGAGAAAGATGGGCATGAGACTTCAGGTGAAGGCCAGGACATTTGGGACACGTTGGATACTGGGAACCCCTTCCGGTTCTACCTTACTAGAGTCTCAGGAATTAAGCCAAAGTACAACTCCAAAGCCCTCCACATCAAAGGTAAGGATATAGGGCGACCAGCAGCGGTAAAGTTATACCTGAGGTGTTCTCCTTGGTAAATCAAGAAGAAAGGCCAGGCCTGAGTGCTTAATGATTGTTGCTGTGGTCTTCACTACACTTAGGAAGCAAAATAATTCTTCGTGTGTTTGTGTGTGTGTTTGTATATGAGACAAGGTCTTGCTATGCAGTTCAGTCTGGACTTGAGCTTTCTTTGTAGCCCAGGCTGGTCTTGAATATGCAATGATCCTCCTGCCTCAGCCTCTTGGGTGCTGGGATTTTAGGCGTGTGCCACCAAGCCCAGTTCAAAATACTCTTTTTCATAAGCGTTAGTTGGACTGCAAGCTGTCTACTTAGAGCAGACATGCAGAGGGTATTTCTTAAAAACCTATAGCTCAGCCCCTTGTACACTTAACACACTGTTTGGAATTATTTCACTTAAAGATTAGACTTGATCAGGAGCACTTCATTAAGTCACCAAGCTTGGCCGCAGTAGTTCTCTGTGGTCCCTGGATTAGCAACATCAGACTGGCCTGGAACTTGTAGAAAATGCAAACTCTCTGCTCTTCGAGTCTTCCACTCAGGTACCTGTGTTTTCACAAGCCATTCGGGGCTCAGATGTTCCATCAGGGCCCAGAAGCGCTGCCTGCCAGCCCACTGTGGGCTCCTGGTGATGAAAGGGCAGAAGAGAGTGCAGCAGTGCAGGTGGACCTTTCAGCCGCAGTGAGAAGTGGGTCTCTGTGCCTTTCCTGATCCCACAGGAAAAATGGGGCGGGGAGGGCACTGGAGAATCTGCGGCACCAAGCCCTGGCCCCGCTGCCCATTTGCTCTTTGCTACACAAGGCTTGACATCTCCAGATTTCTGTAAGCGCCCCTTTAGACTGGGGGCTCCGAAAAACAGCCAGGATGGGAAGTACTAGCACCGTGTGTTCACACAGCCAGTAAATATCGTTACCTTTCTCACAGATTAGCTTTCTTCTGACTCCAAATCAAGAGTACATTGGGGGCTGGGGAGATAGCTCAGTAGAATAAGCGCGTCCTGAGTTCAATCCCTGGTACCGCCAAAAAAAAAAAAAAGAGTACAATATCCACTGTCAACAGTATTTCTATGTGTCAGAGATATAATTGTGCATTTTATTTTTTCTGTGTGATATATAAATGTTGACGCATTTAATCCTATACGGTAGCAAGTTCATTTTGAGTTTCTTACCTAGAAGGCATTTTGAAGAAACATAAGACAGTTGTCAGTTTTGTTTGTTTGTTTGTTTGTTTTGTTTTGAGGGAGATTAGCACAGGAAACAGAGAACTCTGCACACTTTGGTTGCACAAAATTAATAAAGACTTGCTATGGGCACAAGACATTCAGGAAGCAAGGATGAGGGGAGCTTTTCCCTAGACTTTAATCCTCATAGCAACTTTATGAGTAGGTGTTTCAGATGTCCTTCTTGGATAGGTGACAGAGCTGTGGTTTAGAAAAGTTAAGTCCACTGCCCAGAGTCCCAGAGCTGGTCCGTGAGACAGCTATGACTTGCATCAGGCGTGTGGCATTCCAATTCATCCTGCTTGGGATAGCACATTAACATGCACCATAAGTGTGGTTGTCTAGAAAATCGCACAGAGGAAGGGGACTTCCCAAGGTCCTTGAGTGAGGGCAGAATTTGCCCTCTTTTCAGTGGTTCTTGAAAGTGGGTGGAATGTCAGGGAGACAAAAGGCCCACACTGGATATCTGTAAAGTAGGTGACTGAGCCCCTACTCTTCCTCAGAGGCAGCACTCATGGGCTAAAACAAGCTGGAGCCAGACACCCTGGATCTGCCTTGCACCCTGCCGCTTCCTGGCTGTGGTCATGGGCAGCCTCCAGGGGAGACCATCCTCATCCCCAAAAGAAAAATAACAGAACCTGCCTCGAAAAGTGGCTGGGGAGTAAGAGTTAATGTGTGGGAAGTGCCTGGCACCGGACGTCCTGCGCCGTTGTACCTGTAGGCTCAAAAGACAGGGATGACCGGGGGCCACTTCCTGTGGGGCGACTCACAGTCAGAAACATTCTGCCTGACATAAAGTCTGAGTGGCTGTCAGGAGGGACCTCCTTCAAGGTGGCCGGGAACACCAGGGGTGGCAGTGTAGAACTGTGGGAGCACAGTGCTCCAAAATCCCAGAGGGCCCAGGTCACAGATGGCTACCTGAAGAAGGTAAGGATCCAGAGACCCTGGAAAGAGAAAGGTACCAGGACCATGGGTGTTAACAGTCACCGCGTACTGAAGTTGCAGATTTGAGTTTTACATTGTGTTTTATAAAAGAATATATGATTAAACATTAAATACCACAGGGAAATTTTTGAGCATGTTAAAGCCTAGCTTTGTAATGGTTTCCAGTTTACTGTTTTCTGAGCCAAATCTCGATGATTGGTAACTGTTCAGTAAGTTAGTTGTGATTGTTATGACCACAGGACTTTGAGTGTGAATCGTGTTTCTCCTTTGTAGATATTTTATCTCCTCTATTTGGGACACTTGTTTCCTCATCTCAGGTGAGTTTATGGGTACATTGTTTTTTACTCAAGGGAAAACAGACAAATAATTAAACAACTTTATAAGAAAGTATGAGAGGCAGGGATATGTGTCTCAGTCCTGTGCAGAGTCCCCAGGATGGCACATGCCCAAGAAACTGGCATCTGTGGGCCTAGGTGGGGCTGGCCCTATTAGTAAAGGAGCCCGTCTTGATCAGACCCCACAGACTGATTGAAGGCTTACTTTGGATGTTACAACCTGGACGCTAGATGGAATGGGGTACACCAAGGCTGAGCTCCTAGACTCAGGCCAAGTAAGACCCACCTGGGGTCAGGATGTGGTTGTTAACAACTCGTGAGTGCCCAGGACCATACGTGTGCACCCAGCTGGTCACTAAGTTGGGCTGGAAGGAAATTTTCTCTTCTAAAAGTCCTGGGATCTTGCATCCAAAATCTATCATTTTATAATCACTTAGGAGAAAAGGGATTCATGTATAAGCTCCTTTATTTAAATTAATAGCAGGACTGTTAGAAATAACATAGCGACATCCTGTTGACAAGTACAAATGCTGCCAAAGCATGCAGAGATAATTTCCTTAGAACCTATTTTTCTTATACGTATGGCTGCATTTGTGCAGATTCCTTTAACCATGTATTCCTTCAGGATAAAATTTAGATTTGTTTATGAGTCATGCAGCGTGGCTGTACAGGTTTATAAATTATATGTGTAGGGCATTATTATTTGAGAGTTTCTTTCAGTTTAGTGAATGGTTTTTCTGAACTGCTTGGCTGCGCAACCTGTGTCTTAGTTCCTTTTCCTTTCCCCCATCTAGTTTAACTACTGCTTTGACGTGGACTGGCTTATAAAACAGTATCCACCAGAATTCAGGTGAGTTCCAAGGTAACACCACCATAATAACAATAGACACATAATAATACTGTAACCAATAAATAATAAAACTGGATTGCTTTGAAGCACAAGATCTGTATTTCTCAGATGAAAGCCACCCATCTTTTTAAAGTACTTATTTTCAAACTATTGAAATCAAATTGACATTGTCATTTTGAGCAAAATAGCATTTGAAAGTCTGTTTAATCACATACATTCTTTTAACAGATCGGAGTGCTTTGCTCTGTGCTCTGTGCTCTGTGCTCTGTGCAGAAGTAGGCAAAGACAAATTCCCAGCAGACCCCGGGACTCCATGCCCAGTGTTAGCGGGAGGCAGTGCTGGCCTCCAGGGAGCAAGGACCTATCCAGGCCAGGTGCCACGCCCTGCTCAGCATCTCGGCGCTGCTCTTTTCCTGAGGATCGCTGCGCTTCTCCAGTCATTCTTCCTGTATGGACACTTCATCAGCTGCATGTTACAGAGCTCAGCATCATGACGTGCCACCTGCCCTTGTTTCTAGCATATCTATTTATTTATTTTTAATTTTTGTACTTATTGCAAGGTCTCTACACAGCTCAGACTCAGTGATCCTCCTGTTTTCAGCCTCCCCAGTGCTGGGATTATAGGCCCGCGCCACCACACCTACACTCAGTGGCCGGCTCAGCGCTCCTGGGGGTGGGGCTATCTCACCAGCCCTCTAACATATTTATACCCAGGGGAAACATGATCATCAGGGTCCTCAACACTCTTGGTGTGTATAAGGCATCATATTATGGAAACCTTTGTCATTCGAGAGGGTAAGATGCTGCTGAAGTTTCCCAGGCAGCTTTGGCACTCAAGGGCTCAGATTTAATCTATAATGTGGAGGATGAATTTTAGCTGCATGTGAATAGAAAACCCAAAGTAACAGTGGTTTAAGCAAAACAAATTAGTTTTTCAGCACAAGAAGTCCAGATGGTATATGTTTGTGATCTGTGTTAGGGGACACCATGATTTTCTCCAGGAGTTAGCTACCTGTCTTCTGACTTTCTGTCTCACATGGTGTGTCATTTTAGTGTTCAAAGTCACCCCCTGCTCCAGGATGGCAGCCAGAGCCTCAGTTCCCTGTTTGTGTTTCAGGCGGCAAGGAGGAGGAGAAGGAAGGAAGGGCTCATGTCCCAGTCTTGTCCCCATGACCAGCTGTCCTGTGGTCCCACACAGCATCTGCTTCTCCCTCACTGAGCTCAAGTGCATGACAACCAGCCCTAAAAGAAACTGGGAATGTGGCAGCTGAGCACAGCCTGTCCTGCATGAAATCGAGATACTGCTAGAAAGGAGAGGCTGCGTAGTTGGGACAGTGAGTGGGCTCAGCTGTAGCCCCACCCAGAGCTCATCCCTGGGGTGGTGTGAGAGTAGTCTGCTCTTCCTCCTTTGCTTCTCAAAGACCTTGACATCAGATGTCTCCCCTTTACAGTGTTGCCAATACTCATGCACTAAAATCCCCTTAGGACATTTTATAGTGGAATCTTATTTTAAATAGGGTTTGTTACAATCCTTACTGGGGGATAGGCCTTACAGAGGCCATAGGGCAGCCTCTACTCCAGTATGACTGGTGTCTTTATTAAAAGGGAAAGGTTGGACAGACACAGAGAGGACCCTGTGAAGACACGAGGATGCCATGTATACCCCACAGAGAGCACGAGGCTACCTGCAGCCAGATTGAGGCCTGGAACAGACTCACCTCCCCTGGAAGGCAGTAACTCTGCCAGTGTCAGAACCTCAGGATTTTTTTTTTCATAGCTGTAAAACAACAGGTTTCTATTGAAGCCATTGTTTTCTGGTGCTTTGTTACAGCAGCTGTAGCAAACTTACACAATGTGCAGCTAAAGCTCAGCAATTAAGGTCAAAGGACAGAAGAGCTCTTCCCTTCACGCCCTTACCACTCAGTGCACCTTGGGAATGTGCTCAAGACCATATAAGGACGTAAGGACGTGGAGTGTCAACTTTAGGTAACATCTATAGCTTGCAGAAAATTTTAGCCCAGGAGGGTTTGTACTGCACTGTGCAGACGTTGCTTTTTTATAACAGTCCACAGAACCCATAAATTTGGAGAAATTAATGAAGATCTTAGCTTTTCTTAACCTGTTATTGTAAGATGGCTGTGGTCTAGTAACCAATCTGGTTTCCAGGGAAATGCATGAGTGCTTCCTACATTGCTCTCTGTGCTGTTGTCAGTTACTATTTTTTCAAGTAAGAAAAAAGTTAGGCATGTGTGCTTCATGGTGAGAGTTTAAAGTTTTACGTGGGCATAAGAGGTCAGTGCCAAAATTGCATTTCCTACAGTGTTTCCTTCTAGTTGAGTGTTGTCTCTTCATGTGTGGCAGAGAATCAGTCTGCAGTGTAATTGAGAAATGGGAAAGTAGCTGTAGTTGTTTCTCTTCCTTAATAGCTTATTGAAGAAAAATTCAATTTTGGGCAGTTAGTTGAGGTAAAAAAGATACATTGATTTCTTTCTTTTTCTTTCTTTTTTTTTTTTTTTGGTAGCACCAGGGAATTGAACTTGGGGCCTTGTGCTTGCCAGGCAGACATTTATTGCCACTAAGCTATCTCCCCAGCCCCTAGATACATTGATTTCTAAGGATCATCTTGCTTTGAATTAACTGGAAATGAAGGATCCCTTCAATGTCTTTTTAATCTATTCCTGAAGAGTGTTTTTATGTAGTCTTTGGAATTTAAAAATTGCAATGTGTTTTGCACCCTGGTCCATTGGAATCTGTCTACCTATAATAAGCCTGCCTTGTGCTGTGGGCCTGGGCCTGTTTCCTTTTGTGTCCTGGGTCCTGCGCAGTATCTAGAGCAGCTAGTAGAAGCTGGTGAACAGAAGGCAGAGAGAGTCCACTGCTTGATCCAGACAACTCTGTAGGGACAGTGATGACTGTACCTTTAACGTATTTGATCATAAATGTATTAACACAGAGGAGCCTGTGTGCTCCTTTGGATGAAGAAGGTAATTGCTGGAGCGCCCGCTGAGTCTCAGCCCTTCTGTGTCCCAGCAGCCCTTGGGGTCAGGTCTTGTGGCCCCTTGCCATGGGCCACAGGCACAGCTAGTGAGAGTGCATGCAGAAGCTGTGAACTGGGCTGTGTACTCAGATGCAGTTGGCAGAACCAAGTGTCTGGCGGTACACAAACCAGCCTTCCTCAGAGGGGCAAGAGTCCAGCTTCATGACTGATGCATCTTAAATACTTCTCATCACTTTTCAGGAAGAAACCAATCCTGCTTGTGCATGGTGATAAGCGAGAAGCGAAGGCCCATTTGCATGCCCAGGCAAAGCCTTATACCAACATTTCGCTCTGCCAGGTAAGCCGCCTGTTGCCACTGGACATCATGGTCAGTCTGGGAGCTGGGAGGAATTTGAGACCTTTAGGCCACCCTCCCCACAGCATCCTCAGCAGATATGGTCTAGCCTCAGTCTAAACTGCCTGAGATAGCCCAGTCCCTTGGTGGGAGCCACCAATGGTTGGAAATACTTTTCTTTATCTTAACCTTAAAAGTCTCTGCCTATAATTTCTACCCATTGGCCCCAATTTGCCTCCTCAGGAGCAGACAGAACCTCTTCTTTGTGCTTGTCAGTGCTTCCTATAGTCAAGTAAGCTGTCCTGCTTCTAGTCCTCTCACGGGTGTAGGCGCTCAGCCTGCATCAGTTTGCTCAGTGTAGTGTGGATCCAGCTCTTTTCCCGGCCTCCTGGTACTGTTTGCAGCTCGTTTGTCCATGTACCTTTTTTTTTTTCTTTTTTTAAATTCTGGAGATTGAACCTAGAGCCCTTCACACAGAGTTACCTCCTCAGCTCTTCTTAGTTTTTGAGTCAAAGTCTTGCTAAATTGCACAGGCTGGGGTCCAATTTATAGTCCTGCCTGAGCTTGCAGAGTGCGGGGAGCAACCCAGCTGACTCCGCGCGCCTCTTGAAACCTGCGTGGCAGCACTGAGCGGGGCCTCTGGTTCTACCGCAGGGGTGCGGCTCTGCTGCTCTTGGCACTTCCGCCGTCGTGCTCAGTTCTTTTCGCATCACTGGCACCTGAGGTCTACACTGGAGAGCCTCTTAGCTTTGAAGCCTGTGAGGAAGCTTTAGTGACTCATGCTGCATGTGATCCAGGCCCCAGGAGCGAGCACTGAATGCTTTCCTAGCGCGTATGTGTGCTTGCTTGGCTGGGACCAGCGCAGAGTAGAGAAGAAGGGGACGCACTCAGAAACTAGCATCCAGTTTCTCTGTAGTGTCCTGTAATTTTATCTTCGTACTTTGTTTTTGCCCTACAGTGTGACCAAATGAATCTCGGACTTTTGTTATGTGCCATAATCTGCACCCAGAACGAGCTCTTCATGGGCCATTTTCAACCAAAAATAAATAAATAAATAAATAAAACAGGTGAGGCAGGAAAAATAGGAATAAAGAATATTTACATTTGTGGAAATGGTGGTTATGAATTAACTGGCAAAATAGTCATTTTTTCGTATTCCTCTTAGCAGGATCATCAGCCCATTCATGGGAAAGCTTAGTAAAAGATAACTTTCATGACTGTTCTCTGTTATCAGCGTAGTGAAACTGGCTCAAGATTTCTGCTCTTGGAGTACAGAGGCATGGTACCCGGGTCCTTTTTTTGCAGTTCTCCTTCTGGGGTCGTTTTTCTCCATTCATACAAGGTTTCAGAATTTCAACTCACATCTTCCAACTATAGATGATATCAGGGTTTGCGTGTGTGTGTCTGTGTGTGTGTGTGTGTGTGTGTGTTTTAAGATCAAAACAGGGTGAAAGCTCAGTCAGATTAACCATAGACAGACCTCACAGTATTTTTCCTGACTTAGCCCACTGCACTTTCTCTTTCTTTTTTCGTTTGGTACCAGAATTCAAACTCACGACCTTGAACTTGCCAGGAAGGCGCTGTGCCATTGAGCTATATCCTGGGCCCAGGCACTTTCTATAACTTTGGTTTTCAAGTACGCCTTCCTTCCCTAGCATGTGGCTCCTCTTCTGCACATGTGTGCCTTTCCTTAACAGGCACCTACAATGCCATTGTGTTGTGTCTGTTCCCAGCAACACAAGAGGCTAGTCTGGAGTAGGAGAGATGCAGGCAGAAAGCAGGTGCAAAAGGAATCCTGAAAACAGTGATTTAATACATAGAAGTGGGGGCCCAGCCCCTTAGCTCAGCTCTTTAAGTGGCTGCTTCAAAAAAGCAGCCAGGCTCAGGTTGCTGTGGTTCGATCCCCACAACTCAAGCCAGCCAAACCTGCCCTGAAGGCATTCGGAGCAAATAAATAAATAAATAAGTACATAGAAGTAGTGTGGTTGAAATAGGAACTGTATTGAGAAGCTTAGCAGGCTTGCTCTCAAGAACATGCTTTGGACCTGCCACTAGAGGGTGCAAGGAGACCCGTCTTGGCAATGGCGCAAAGCTCTGTGTGCATGCCTGAGTGCCAGACCTAGCTACAGAAGTGTCACCCTACGCTGATCTGTTGAAAACCTTTATATCTTGTTTTTGGGATGACTCTTTGAATATTTCTAGCAACACTGTGTCATTGAGGCAGGATGGAGACTGGTAGTCAAGGGTCAGATTGCCTGGGTTCTGTCCAGCGCTGTCTGGGTCCAGATGCTGTAACAGAATCTTTTTTCCCCTGGGCAACATAATGCATTCGTTTCTCTCTGTTCTGGAAAGCAGAAAATCTAAAACAACAGTGCAAAACAATCCGGGCCCTGGGTGTACTTTCTTTTTCCTGGCTTGTGGAGGGCCACTGTCACACGGTGTCCTCACTTAGTAGAGGGAGATGGGGTCCATACAACCACTCCTGGAATCCTTATTGTAAGAGCACTATTCATAATTGATTACCCACCCCCACAAACGCATGTGTTTATTCTTACCACCTCCATGAAGTTCCTGGGACAACAACCAATTATACATGGCGAGATGCTTAACATTCAGTCTGTAACACTGTGTTGTTCTGGTCTTGTTTCTGAAGCCTGATTGTTCAAGCCTGATTTCTTGTGTTCAGAAAGGATTACTGATGCTCTTCATCACAGAGTTTTAAAGAATTTTGTACATCAGACCCCCAAAAGCACTCATCAAATACTATCTTTTTTTATGCTTCAACCTGCCCAAAAACATTTAACTTGTACAAAACAAAAGCCTGGCCTCTGGCCAGTGCTCCTTCTTAGCTAAGTATCAGTTTACTGAGTGGCAGTCTTCCTTCTGATTTTACAATTCTGAAAACGTGAATAGTTCCCAGCCCTCTCTCCCGTGGCTAGAGCGCGCAGGTATGCACCAGGGGTTAGCATCCCAGCTCACACTTGGATGTGGAAGAGCACAGGCACTGGACTTCTGGGTGGCAGGCATCTCCCACCAGAGCCTGTGTTGTACTCACTTGTGTCCTAGTGCTCACATCTGCCCTGGCAGACAGTGCCCTCTGCGGTCACGGGGTGGGGGGGGGGCATTGTCGTGATTGCTACTGTCAGCAGAGCTTGCTGCAGGCAGGCCCCTTTCCTCTGCATTTCCTCACTTACTCCTGGCTCTAAATCTCATAGTATTCCTCTGGTAGTACTGGGAGTTGAACCCAGAGCCTTCCCACTGAGCTCCATCCCCAGACACCCCCACTCCAACACACACCCTCTTTGAGACAAGGTCTCACTGTATTGCCCACGCTGGGCATGTACTTGAGATCTTCTTGCCTCAGCCTCCCAGGGTGTTGGGATTATAGGTGTGTGCCACCACAGCCAGCTGACAATACCTGGTCCTAAAGAAGAGAAAGCTGAGGCCTAGAAACACAGGTGTTTTCCAGAGTCGTACTAACTTGTGAAGACAGGATTTCTTTCAGAGCCCACCCCTTCCCACCACGCTCTTACTGTACTGAATCCTGGGCGAGACCTTTGCGTCTCCGCCTGCCTTCCATCTCATCATTAAGAGGTTATTTTATAACAAATTTTATTTTTTGTGGTACCAGGAATTGAAAAAACTGATTTACTGTCTTTTTCTTTTTCAGCACTTGCTATGTGTTCAGTCTTAGAAAGTTTCTATTTTATCATCACTACCGTCCTTGTGTTGGCATCACGTTCTTCTAAATAAGCTCTGAAAACTGTGTATTTCTTCTGTATTAAGCCAGACGCCTAATTTTAAAGCATTGCATAGAATCACTCTTGTTTATTAGTTTTTTGACAACTGAAGAAATTAAATTGTACACTCCTAATTACTATAATTTAAAATGTAATATAAAATCATTTTGGAGAACCAGTTTTGGTTTTTATGAGCCTTATGCTAAAATAAAAACCATCAATAGAGGGCAGTAGACAGTGTTTTTAGAACATGACCCATTTTAAAATTTCTTATAGGAGTATTATTGAGGTCTTTTTTTTCTTTCAAGTAAATGACTTCTCTTTCATCATAGGCGAAGTTGGATATTGCTTTTGGAACACACCACACGTAAGTACCTTACAAAATGGGGAGGGTATGATTTAATGCATCAAAGCGTATTATTGCAAAAGTGTGTTTGCAGGGGCTAATCTGTGATCGTGCTGCTAGAAGACGGGGAAAATGAAGCTATCAGCAGTGGAGTGCATGGAGTTGTTCTCTTGAGCTTTAAGATTTAATGCTGAGTTCTGCCAAAGCAAACAAACAAACAAACAAACAAACAAAAAAACACATGGGGCCGGGGAGATGGCTCAGTGGAATAAGCGCTTCCCTGGCAAGCGCATGGACCTAAGTTCAATCCCTGGTTCCACCACAAAAAAAAAAAAAAAAAAAAAGATTTAATGCTGAGATTCTTGCTCTTAGCATGTAGGTATAAACCTCTGAGTGGGAAGCTTCTCCCATCTGCTCAGGACTTGTGTGTGTCAGGCCTGGAAGGAATGGGCTAGGGTTGTGTGGTTCTTGTGATCACTGATACTTGTATGTGTGCTGTTGTTACCACATTTTTGGGTGCTACAATCTCCTTCTGAAGGTGGTTTCTAGATTATTTCTGTCCTGAGCAAAGAATTGGTCAAGATAAACACAAATGTTAGCAAAGTTTTATTAAGGGTGAGGGGGGAAAAAAGGAAACAGGCTCAGCAGAGCAATTTTGGGCCAAGTAAGAGTAAGAAAACAAGTACACCCCATGGCCTGAGAGCAGGCCCGTGCAAGAGAGAACACAGTGCCAAAACCTCAGTGCAGACTATTCTTTTTGTATCACCCAGTGCTCAGGCTGAAGCTGGGTCTAGCCCCTCTATGGAAAAACCATGCAGGGCATTGGGAGCTGTTCTGAGCATGCGGCCCGGGGTTTTGTAATTAACAGGTCTCGCCTACTTCCTAGCCAGCTTTGCCAAGACCGAATCTCCTGCCCCTCAGTCCTGGGACTCTCGTTGCCCCTCCTTTCACAAAGTTTAATGATCTGGATAAGCATGAGCTGTGTCAAATAGTGTGCTGTTGTCTAATTCTATACTACAGTCAAAAGGAAAGCTGTTGTGCCAGAAGTTGTCAACTTGAAGACTGGCCCAGCTCAAAACAGCTCTTTTAGAGTAACTTTCTGGGTTATAAAGCAGAGACAAGAAAAACTTTTCTGTTGCTGTCTTCTTGGCACAGTGAGCCCAATTTTCAGCCTACATTAGGTTTATGGAGTCCTTTTACAAAGTCATTGATTCTACAAATAAGAAAAAGAAATCAACATGGTGGGTCAGGTGTGGTCGCACACACCTGTAATCCTAGCACTGGGGAGGCTGAGGCAGGAGGATTGCCATGAGTTCAAGGCCATCCTGATCTACATAGCAAGACCTTGTCTCAGAAAAAAAAATTCATGAATGCAACACGGTCACCCCTATTTTAATGCTTCCACAAATTTCATTTCTTTGGAAAGTATTTCTAAAAGAATGTGACAGCACCCATTTTCTTCCAAACCAGTAGTGGCAGTGGGTGATTTGCATCAATCCTGGGCCTCTGGGCAAAAAGGAATCCCTTAAGAGGAAGGGCTTGCCACAAGCCTTGCTGTCACTGCTGTTTTCGTTTTGTTGTGATGACCTGAAATGGTGGCATTGTGGCCATTTCTCTATTCGTGTGCTAAAACTATTTTTCCTGGTTGGTTTTGGGGAGGAGCCAGAGTGGAAGCAGTTGGGCCAGTCCTGGAGAGGACAGGAGCTCGCCACACGTCCTCAGGCTTAAGGTGCTTGAAATAGAAGGCACAGCACCCCCAGACCAGCCTTAGTGGGCAGCATTCATCCAGCAGAGGAAAGGGTTCGAGCTTAAGGAAGGCGACAGCACGAGCACCTCACTCACATGTAATATATTCTTTTATACTGACTTTCCAGGGTACCAGTTTTAGTAGAAAATACAGAAGGCCATCAGACAAGGGCCTCTCGGTAGTAACAGGTAGCACCAAATAAAAAGGCCTTAGCTGGAACCCCAGCATAAATACCAGCTCCTGGCAGGTCCTGCTGCCCATCTGGTTTGTGGCCGTGATGTGCTCAATCACCTGTGTCAGGCTGCTGTGCCGGCCGCGCAGGCTGTGCTCCATGGTGAGCCTCCTGGTGAACCGCCACTACCAGGTAGCAGGAGAACCTGCATCGTCATGTCCTGCCAATCCTGGGAGGGACCCTGTGGTAAGCCCACCCGGGATCTAGCGCAGTGATGCTTAGCTGAGCAAGCTGGGTGAGTGGGTACCCTTTGTTTAATGCTCTTCAAAAAGTTATTTGCAGGCTGAGGCAGGAGGATTGCGAGTTCAAAGCCAGGCTGGGCAACTTAGTGAGACCATGTCTCAAAAACAAATAAAAAATGTGAGGGGAGTATGTAGCTCGGTGCTAGAGTGCTTGTTTAACTTGCACAAGAACCTGAGTTTTACCCCCAGTATCACACGCACACATGCACACACATTATTTGGTCCTTTCAATCTTACAGATCAGAAAACTGAGGCCCAGAGTAGGTAAGCTGGTTTTGCTTGGCTAGAGAGGGAGACAAGAATAGAACTCATGTGTTTTCATTTTGAATTTGTTCCTCTTTGCTCACTCAGCCTTATCCTCCTAGCACCTAACAGTTTTTATTTCAGAGTTTAAAATGCTCAGGGAAGTAATTCTAACAGAACCTTTCCCAGCTAGATAGTATCTGTAGCTTACATTTTGTAGAAATGCCAGAATCTGGAGCTCATATCTTGAAACTATTTTTGGTTGCTTCTTGTTTTACAAATTATTCATTAAATATCTCTTACTCTCTAGTCACACACAGGAGGGTATAGTTTTTGTCCCTGCAGCTCTGTGTCTTTTAGTGAGTGAAATCAAACATGGTGGGGGGGGGGGAGCCTTCCAGCTCGAGGTGGTGGGGTATGAGCTGCCCTCCCAGCCTGCAGGTGGTCTTGGAGTGGCTCACACCTGAGCTGGCATGGCCTGCCCAGGTGCTGCATGCATGAAACACGGAGCTAGCCCACGTGCAGGCCTGGCCCTCTTGTGCTCACAGTCTGGGTCAAAATGTGTTCTGTCCAATTTCTATAGGACGCTGGGCAACCCTGTGGTCTATGTCGCAATGTTTTAGGATGGCAAAAGCCTCCCAGTCTTGATCACTTTCTCATGGCTGGGACACAATACCCAGCACTCTCAACATAAAGAAAAACTTTGTTTTTCTCTCATTCTGGAGTCAGCTGGCTTCAGGCAGAATGGCATGAGGCGCTCGGGGCGCATCTGTTCTCTAAGCTGTATGCCGCCTCTGGGCTGGGAAGTTACCTCTGAAGACCACAGAACAGATGAAGAGAAAGAGCCACAGCAGCTGCAAGGCAAATGTCACTATCCAAGCTGGGGGGAGCAATTCAGTGGGATGGGGTACACCTCTTCCCCCTACCTCTAATTGGGACTTCCCACACCCTTTTGTTAGTATGTTTCTCACCAAGACTGTGTCTCCCCCAACTTCCCCTCCCTCCCCAATACCATGAAGTATCCGCCGTTGCCACCACTATCCTGCCAAAGCCACTCAGAGTGATAGGAGCACATGACATGCATGATTCCAGCAGTCTCACAGGATCGCTTGGGACCCGGATAGTTGCCATTTCCTCTGGAAGCTGCGAATTCTGCGGTTGTGAAATAGGAAAGTCCTCCTTGTGTGGATGGCGGTCAGACAGTGCTGCCATGTAGAGATCCCGCAGCCCCCTGTGGGCCTCGCTTCACATTTGCAAAGTGTCCTGCTGCCACCCCCCCTGCGCAGACAGTGGGGCAGACATGCCTTCTTCGGGACAGACCCCACTCCTCTCGTTTCTAGCTGTTGTATATTTTGCAGTGCTGGACATGGAACCCAGGAAATCCCACATGCTAGGCAAGTGTTCTACCACCGAGCTACTTCCCAGCCCTTTTTATTAGTTTGGGGTTTTTTTGGTTTTGTTTTGTTTTTTGGTTTTTTTTTTTTTTGGCAGAACCAGGGATTGAACCCAGACCCTTGTGCTTGCCAGGCAAGCACTTATTCTACTGAGTCATCTCCCCAGCCCCACCCCAGCCCTTTTAAAAATTATTTTGTGAGACAGGGTCTCAATATGCTCCCCTGGCTGGCCTCAAACTTGCAGTCCTTCTGCCTTGGTCTCCCAGGTAGTTGGGTTACAGGCATGTGCCACCACTCCCAGGTCCTGGCTATCTCCGATCAGATTCTACCTACTTTTACCTATTATCTTACTAACACTATTTTGTCTGTGAAGAAAATTAATATGGGTCCCTTTAAATTCCTAGTTCTATTTTTGTAAGATTGGCTGGTATTAGTGCCTGATTTTCCTGATAAGTGATGTCTTGATTAGTAGAAATATTTGTAAAGCTTATAACATGAATCCATAACTGGCTTATCCTTAATTATAATCAGCTGCTAATGTGGCAAGTATGTGTATAAATCTGCCCAGATCTCAGTGAGACATTTCAGAATGGGAAGAAAGATGGCGCAGCAGCTGTCATTTCTCTAGCTTTGCATTAATTCACAGTTTGCTAGATAAGGTTAATGTCTCATCTTGGCAACAACTAAAAAATCCCATTCTCTTTTCTGTTCTTCCCCAGTCCTAGGGATTGAACCCGTGGTCTTCTCACTGAGCTACATTTCCAGCACCCCCCCCCCTTTGTTTTTTTAAATTTTGAGATGGAGTGTCACAGAATTGTGTAGGCAGAGCTAAAACTTGCCATCGTCCTCAGCCTCCCCAAATGCTGAGGTTATAGAGGTGTACATCTCTCCTAGCTCCGTCCCTCTACCCCTGTCCTCTTGTGCTTTCCTCACCCTGCCCAGACTGTATTCAGATGATTGTTTATTTGAGGAGAACCTGTGGCATATTTTTTTGCACATGTGCACTAAGTTGCATTAGTGAGTGTTAGGTAACATTGTGACCCCAGTGAAAGTGATGAGTCAAGACAATTCCAGCCTGGAGCAGCGGCCCTAGTTGAGGAAAGAAACCTAGATTACTACAATAACGATAAGACAAAGTCATCTAATTGATTACAAAATAAGTCACCATAGTGTGTGCATGATTATTCAAGAGTTGACAACACACATTTTGATTCCATTTACGACAGTCCCGGGATAGATTTGATCCTTCGTGTTCCAAATGAAAAACAAAGGTTTAGGGATGGCTCGGCTATGCTGAGACAGTTCCTGAACGACTCAGGTCTTCCGACTTCAGACAGAAAGCTCTTACTTGGGCTCTGCTTTGTCCTCTCACCGGCAAGAAAACAAAAGAAACATGTTTGATGCTGAAAGGCCTGAGGGAGCCCACTGGGAAAGAAAGGTCTCAGCCATTCTCGGCAGAGGAACAAAGGTGCTGTGGACTGGAGTCTATGGAACACAAATGAGTCCGTCTAATAAGAATGAAGCATCTTATAAATTTTTTTGCTTGTAACCCACGGTAAGGAATTCTGTGAGTCATACATTTTAGTGTGCTACACATGGACATATCCGTGTGCTGAAACCACAATGTCATGTTCCAGTACTTTGTTTAGATGTATGCAGTGTCCTGTTGACTTATTCTCTTTTAGTTGTTGACATATATAAGACGTACCACAGCAAGGGGCTGTGCCCATCCTTGGAAAAACCCTGGGCAAAGCTCCCTCTGTCCAGTGTTAATAAGGTGATCCTGAACATATAATAAGGGGCCAGACTAGGACGGCGTGAAATGCCAGGACCAGCATAGACAGAATGGGGTGAACATTCGTTGACCTACAGTAGGCATGCCAGGGCTTTGTGGAAAGTGGCTTTCTACCTGTCGCTGAGGCAAAATTTTGTAAAACTGGTTAATATAAAGGTTTGAAAATTCCTCTAGCTACAAGTTGTGTTTGAAAAGTATGGTGAAGGTTTAAAATTTTTCTGAATTTATTACGTGAAAAGTACATTTCTTTTTTTTTTTTTTTTTTTGGCGGAACCAGGGGTTGAACTCAGGCCCTTGTGCTTGCCAGGCAAGCGCTTATTCTACTGAGCCACCTCCCTGGCCCCGAAAAGAACATTTCTGTTAAGTTTTCAAACCACTCTCATTTGGAATGGTACCCCATTGTTCTTCGCACTTTCTGAAGCCGTTCTGGAAGCCTGCCTCTGTCCTCAGTTGAACTGTGTGACTGCCTCGGTGTCCTAAATGAGCTCAAAATGTCTACCTTTGGTGCTCATTTTGACTGTGGAGAACAGAAGTTACATGGCACCAGATCTGGTGAGATAGATGAAGTCGGGACTCAACATCCTTCCGAGCCACTGGATGGCACTCAGCAGCAAGCATCCGCAGCTATGAAGACACAAAAGAGAACTCTGGAACCACGTCAGAAAGGGGCAGGAATGAGGAGACACGCATGCTTGAAGTGAAGGGGAGGACTTTGAGGTGGATTAGTAACAAGATATCTCTTACTGTAATATTTAAACATTTGGGTATCCATTATACATTTTTATGGCCTGTGTATTTGTGACATTTTCATTAGAAAGGTATTGCATATTTGAGAAATCCTGTTAATAGTTTTTATCCCCTTTCTGTTTTTGAAGTAAAATGATGTTACTGCTGTATGAAGAAGGCCTCCGGGTTGTCATCCACACCTCCAACATCATCCGTGAAGACTGGTACCAGAAAACCCAAGGGTTCGTAAGGACCTACTTAGTCCTGGCCAGCCGCAGTTTATGCTGAGAGAGATCAAAAGCCAGAACATTCACTGTATTCTTTTTTGGGGGATGGGGAGGCCTTGTTTGGTTTGGTTCTGTTCCGCTCTGTTTTTGTTGTTTGCAGCGCTGGAGATCAGACCCCCAGGGCTGGGCACACACTGCCACTGAGCTGCATCCTATCCCCTGTAACGTTCTTTCCCGACTGCTCTACTTCCATTGTGCTCTCTTTGAAATAGTCACCGTTAAGAGTTTGGTGCATCATAAACTACAGCTATCTCTGTGTCAGCATAATTCAGAAAGAGTTCTCACTACGGTGAGAGGACATTGACGTGGTGTGATCAGATTTGTTTTACATTCCCTAAAAATCACTCTGCTTACTGTGTGGAGATGCATAGCAAGCCACTACTCTTCCTTTGGGAATATGCATAACCATTAGAGAGCTATCATGATCAGTTGCATTCCTGAGTATTAAAGGGTTTTTTTTTCCATTCTCCAGGATATGGTTGAGCCCCCTGTATCCACGAATTGATCCTGGAAGCCACAGATCTGGAGAATCAGAAACACATTTTAAAGCTGACCTCATCAGTTACTTGAGGGCTTATAATGCTCCTCCTCTCAAGGAATGGATAGATACCATCCAGGAGCATGATCTCTCTGAAACTGAGTAGGTGTCAGTTGCCAGTCCCAGGTGCAGGACTCCCAGGCACGGAGCTCAGGGGAGGCGGGGGGGGGGGGGGGGTTGTGCCTTGAGACTTGCTTAGGGGAGGACAGCAGATTCCCTCTGCAGCTGCGTCCTGCGGATCTCAGGCCTTGAGGCAGCCAGCAGGTCTTCTACCCTGTGCTTCTTGCTGGGGTCCTCTAAATACAAGAAGTTCTTCGCCTGGGACCTTACACCTTCATGTTCTACCATAATCCAGCTTGCGGGGAAATGAGTTTTGGGAGTTGCAGTTACAATTGAGGAGACATCACAAGGAAAGGAATCTCCTAGAACAATTAGAAGGTGTCTCATTAGTTCTCATGTGTGTTTCATTATTTTTTTTGAGATGGCAAAGCACATTACTATGTCCTGTATATAACTCAGGTTTTATGTCTTTTTTAGTGTTTACCTGGTTGGCTCAACCCCAGGACGTTTTCAAGGAAGTCAAAAAGATAACTGGGGACATTTTAGGCTTAGAAAGGTAAAGGAACTCTGACTCTCAACATTTTAAGAACAATATGTATTTTTTTCTCCTTTTTCATTTATGATGGTATATTTTGTTAGTGGTTTCACAATATTTCCTATACAATTCTGGTGGGGAATAGAAGGTACTTGATAAGTTGATTGTCTAATGATGATTTTCAATAGTTTTTAATTTAATATTTTGCCTCTTTTATAGATGTAGACTTCCTAAATATTATATTATTTTTAGTAGTTTTTACATTTCCTGTGATAAAGATAATTAGAAGCTTCCCATTCATGCAAGTATGGTAGCTTTTAGTGCTTAGCATATCTAGGATTTTTTAACGTGCAAGTTAAACAAGAACAGACAATAGTGTTGAATAAAGGAGGTGACTTAGTTATAAATACTTCTGAAAATCATTTCCTTAAGGAAAATATTTTCCTGCTTTCACTGATTACAAAAATGACATTTGCTGCTCATATGAAAATGAACAAGAAGGCTGGACATGGTGGCATACACCTGTAGTCCCCACACTCAGGAGGCCGTGGCAGAAGGGTTGCCGCAAGTTCCAAGCCAGCTTGGGTTACAAAGTGAGTTCAGGGCCATCCTGAACTGCATAGCATGACCCTGTCTCAAAAAGAAAAGAAAAAGAACATCTTTAACAAGATAAAATAAGAAGCAAACTGGAAATGAAAGTTTCCTAAGTCTTCTTTAGTTTGCCAACCTTAATAAAAATCCCTAAAGTGGTTTTCTTAAAAGCTTTACCTCGTACTCCACAAATTATATACAGATTCAGTATCACTTGATCTGAAATATTTGTACCAGAAGATTTGGCTTTCAGATTTTTTCCAATTTTGGAATATTTGTATGTATAGTTATTATAGACAGCTATGTTAGATGGAAATTAATAGCTGGTCAGAGAGGGTTCAGGCCCTCGAGGGAGTCAGTGCAGCAGGTGAGACACAGCAGAATTGCGGGGAGAAGTGATGAATCCAAAGAGAATCAGAAGGGCCGGCCAGATAGCTCAGCAGACTAAAGCACCTGCTTAGGAGGCGCAGGGACTGGGTTCAATCCCCAGCATGCCATGCCAGCCCCATCCCCGGGGCATACTGAGACTGCAGCTGAGACTGGACGTGGTGGCACGTGCCTGTAATCCCAGCCCTTAGGAGGCTGAAAAAACAGGAGAATCACTACGAGTCCGATCTGTGTAGTGAAACCCTGTAGATCCTGTACTAAATACATTAAAAAATAACAATAACAAAGAGAACTCAGGATGGAGATGCTCTAACCAGTCCTGTAAACCACCCTGGAGATAAACAACAGCATGAGATTCTACTGTAATTAGCACTGACTAGTCTAGGGAGCCCCAGTAATACATCAGGTACGTAGGTGGGTGCCTGGAACACTCTGACCCATGCTGCCATCCTCTCTGGGGATGCCTTTGTTCTTTCTATGTTAGAAGTTACACATAAGCTGAGGTTAATGATGCTCAGCATGATCCCTGGCTGTGTGACTCACTTTCCTGTTGAATCAATATTGGTTTAAGCAACTGTACTTCTAATTGTACAGGTTGATTATAGTTTGGCCCATAGCTACCCAAGTGGTGATTTTGCTTTATATAATGCTTGTAGACAAAGACCATCAGCGGCCAGCAGCTTTCAGGACACCCTCTAAGGAGCTTTCTCGCCCTAAACCTTTGCGGTTTTTTTTT